CGGTACCAAAAAATAAAAGGAATAGAGAGGAAACTTTACTTCAAGGTTAACTATTGAAGTTTTTTGTATTTGAACTTAGAAAATAATCTTAACTCTAGCAATTAATTTTAAAATTCCTATTAGAAGCTGGGCACAGTGGTACATATGTATAGCCCCAGCTACTCAAGAAGCTGATACAGGAGGATCACCTGAACTCAAGAGTTCATAACCAGCCTAGGCAACATAGTGAGGCCACTCATCTCAAGAAAACTGAAAAAATAAAATCAGATGGTGGTGTGAAGAGTTGCCCTTGAAGTCAGAAGAGCTGGTATGCCTACCATGCTGATTTTACGCTAATTGTTTACTGTTTCAGGACTTTAATTATCTCATTTAAAAACATTAGGATTGTAAAGAGCAGTAAGACAATCTGGGAAGTTTCTAGATACCTAAGCAAAGCCATCTGACTTAGTCTGGCTTAAATCCTGTAGGAAAAATGTGCATATGGAAGGGTAGCACACAGGTCAAAAACTGGCACTTCAAAAACAAAACAAAAACTAAAAAGCCAAACCGGGTATTTCTGCGAATACTACAGATGGACTTTATTGGAGAGGAGCAATGGTGGCTGATAACTGCGAAGTCAGTGCTACGGTAACGTAGGCCAGCAGAGACTGGGGTCATCCCTCCTAATTTGTAGGGTGGAGACTGGCTGAAGATGGGAGGTAGTAAGGCGGGGGCTGTTGTGGCTCAAGCTCCTTTAGTCACAGTCACATTGGATGGAGTGTTCAATGGTGGCTGCGCCTTTAATGTCCAAGACAAAAAATGAGTGCTACATACCCTCTGCCCCCCAGACAGCTGGACTGGCACCGAGCCATCCAGCCCAGGATCTGAGGATTCAGATGACAGCCAAACGAAAATATGGAAACTGAAATAAATCCAGTTTACATTTGGAGCATGGTTGGAACTCATGCTGATCAAAGAAAGCTCCTGAGGGAGCCATGGGAGGATTTCATGTAACACAACAGTAACTGCCTGGGTTCAGACTCTCAGTCAAAGGCATGTGGATAGGGCTGGAGTGCTTTTACTTTTTTATTTTATGCTGTCTTAGATTATACGGCATTATTGAATTGCACATGCATTAATTTTTTACATTGAGTTATTTTTTTGGTTCTGGGGGTCAAACCCAGTGTTTCACACATACTACACTCACACCCTACTACTAAGTAACATCGCCATCCCCTAATTTTACATTTGGGCCGGGGATTTAGCTCAGTGGTTCTGGTGCCTGCCGCGCATGCGCAAGGTCCCAAGTTCGATCTCTGATGCCAAAAAAACCCCCCAAAACCCTGCTTGTTCCCTAATTTTACATTTGAAAAAATAGTTAATCAGAAGTAAAATAGGATTATGATTTAAGAGGGAAAATACATTCTAGCGAAGTTACAAAGTTAGGTGAAAACAAAAATAGCATAAACAGAACCGAACAGTCTGGTCCAGTGGTGCTTCCCTGTAATTCCAGCACTCAAGAGACTTGAGGCAGGAAGATTCCCACAGGTTCAAGGCCAGCCTGGACTACACAGTGAGGCCCTGTCGCAAAAAACTAAAACAAGGGCTGGGGATTTAGCTCAGTTGTGCCGCTGCCTGCCTCGCAAGTGCAAGGTCCTAAGTTTGATCTCTGGTACCAAAAATACAAAACTAAACTAAAAACAAAACCGAAAAATAACCAAACATAACTGATGATTGAGTCAGTAAGGGCCCCCTATATTAAGTACAATTTAAACTGGAGAACCCAAATCTGAGTGTAAACTGACCATCCTTGGTTTGGTTGGATACATCAGGGATACTAACTTATTACTCTAAACTGGCATTGAAGGAAAAAACAAGCATTTTTCAGGCCTTTAAACAAGTATTTAAAGATAAACAAATAGCACAAATTGAAAAGAGGACGTTCTTTACAAACTATTCCAGCCAATAAATGTAGGAAAAAATTACATTGGAAAAACCACTATTTTGAAAACTAGATTCCAATTTAGTGGAAATATCTATGAGGAACAGGTTAAATGGCACCATGAAGAAATAAACAGATAAATCTAAACTGTGGGATATTTTACAGGAAAACTGACCTTTTGTTTTCCAATAAATTAATAGTGTGAGGAAGGGAAGGCAGCATCAGGTTATAAGAAAGGAAGAGACCCAGCATGGAAAGGCTGCTTGTTGGCCTGATTTGGATCTGGAATTGTACCAATTCACTGAGAAGATATCCTTGAGACAATGGCAATACACGAACATGGGGCAGGTATCTGAGCATACCAAGGGATTACCATCATCCTGTGAATATAATAATGGCTGTGGATGGCTGTGGCTCAGTGGTAGAGTCCTTGTGTAGCACAGCATGCTTGAGGGCCTGGGTGTGATCTCCAGCGTCACAAAAATGAAGGCAGGAAGGAAGGAGGGGAAGGAGGGAGGGAAGGAGAGAGAGAAAATGAAAGGACCAAAGAGAGAGAAAGAAGAGGGAGGGGAAGGGAGGGAAGGAAAAGAGAAAAGAAAGAGAAGATAGAAGGCAGGCGGGAAGACATTGTGGTTTTCTAAAGAAATACCCATATTGACATAGGTAGGGATGAAACAATGTCTGGGATTTGCTTTAAAACATTTCAGAAGAGGCTAGGCATGGTGGCACATGTCTGTAATCCAGCACTCCGGAGACTGAGGCAGGAGGAGCACTGTGAGGTTTGAGGCCAGCCTGGGGTACAGAGCAAGACTCTGTCTCAAAAACAAAACAAAACAACAAAAAGAACCCAAAAACATTTCAGAAGAAAAAGATTAAAGGAATCAGTGCAACATAATCTTGATGAGTCTAGGTGGTGGATATAGAGGGATTCATTTATTATCCAACATCTTTGTATATTTGAAATTTTCATAATAAAACAGTTTGTAAAGGATGGATAAATGAGTTTTGATCTTACTAGTAAAGAAGAACTCAAGACAAAAACAAAATGATTCAAATGCAATTCTTAAAAAATAAAGGGAGCCATTTACACAAGAGAAATAATTGGATATTTATGCATGGAAAAAATAGCATTAAAATATATAAAGTCAAAAAATTACAAAGAAATTGCAGAATATATTTGTTGTAACTATTTTAACATACATTTCAGTCTTTGACATCCTTGCAAAACAAATGAGACACTAGCAGACTGCTACAAATAGGCTAATTTACTAGCTTTTATACTAAACTATATTATACAAACAGAACATGGAAATTGATAATATAAAATAAACATACATTGACTGATCTCAGTGAAAATATTACATAAAACCAATAATAGCCACAGTATGGAAAACAATAACACAAAACAATAAAACCCAGCCACTTGAAAATCAAAATTCCTCTCCTAAATCCCAGAGAAATCAAGTATGTAACTACATGATACTTGCAAAAATAAAAATATGAAGATTTCACATCAAAACAATAGGGAAATTCATGACATTAAATTCTGTTGTTAATATAAGAACATTTTAGGCCGGGGATTTAGCTCAGTGGTTTCGCTGCCTGCTGCACAAGTGCAAGGACCTGAGTTCGATCCTGTACCAAAAAAAAAAAAAGAAAAATATAAGAACATTTTATTATTCAATACAACCTGATGACGGAAAAATCAAAAGATATTGCAAAGGAAAAAAAGGATAATCAAAGAAACAGTGGAAAAATAAAGTCGAAAGATAAATTAGTACTGTCATACATTAAACATTAAAAGCTAGACATAATTAGATCAAGAGAACAGAATGGAATAGAAACAGCTCATTGCACGGAGGGCTGTATGCACATAAGTATTTATGTAATCCAAGCAGCACTTTGACTCACTGAAGGAACTGACTGATCTAAATGTTTAAATGTTTGTAAAACAATAAAAACAGGGCCGGGGATTTAGCTCAGTGGTTCCACGCCTGCGTCCCAAGTTCGATCCCTGGTACCAAAAAAAACCCAAACAATAAAAACATCTTTCCTTTACACTAAAATCAAAATAAATTCCAGCTACAGATTTAAATGCTAAAAGTCACAGCAAACGACAAAAAATGATAGGTGAATATGTGTATCATTAGGCTGAAGGGTTTTTCTAGCAGATTACCAAAGAAGAAACCGGAGCAAAAAAATGGATAGATTTCAGGAGAAATAAACCAGTTACTTGGAGACCCCACAGGCATATCAGACTTTAGGTAACTGGTGTTGAACTCTGCTCCTTCCCTACCTGTCCAGGGCTATGACACCACCACTCCGGAATCCTAGGGCATCACTTCTCCCGTTCCTCCCTCCTCCCTCCTCAGCTGAGTACCAAGTCCTACAGAGTCCACTTCCTGCACAGGTCCTGTTACGGCCCTCCTCTGGCGCCACTGTGGTCCCCTCTGTCTAGACCTTGGTAATTTCCACCTCAAACCATCTCATTTTCCCCTAAGTGATCTCCCTGCCTCTACTGTCACTCACTTCCAATCCATTATTCAGACTGTTGCCAAGAGGTGCTTTCAGAAAGCAAAATGGTTATTTAACTGCCCTGGGTTCCACTGCTCACATCTCAGTGGTGTTCTCATCCCACTGACAGCCACAGTGAATTGCCAACCATACCTCAGACCCCACCATCGGGCATTTGCAATTCCTATTTCCACTAGAACATCAGAAAGACCTGGAAGATTCTAGAACAGTGATGGCAAACCTTTTAGAGACCGTGTGCCCAAACTGCAACCCAAAAGCCACTTATTTATTGCAAAGTGCCAACACTGCAATTAAATCTGAATCTTGAGGTTTTAGTTTAGAAAAAAACAACAGCAACTGTTATCCGATGCTCGGCTGCTGGGGTGAGTTGGCTTGCTTGATGACAGAAAGGGCTCTGCGGCCCTGCTGCGGCACATGTGCCATAGGTTCACCACCATTGCTCTAGAACATTCTTTGTTGAGTGTCAGTATTACAGGCCACTTTGTCACACACTCAAGTTCATTTGCTCACCCCTGACCAAATCAAAGGAGGCCATTTATGTTGGTAAAAAGGAAAAATGATTTATTCAAAGCTATCAGATGGAGGGGGCCATTTGCCTCAAATCACCATCTCACCTTGTGCAGGTGGGCAAAGGTCTTAGATGAGGAACAGGGTGGGGGGGCACAGAGAGCTCCATGGCTTACAGCCACCTTCAGTTGTTTATCCTCCCCTTTCTTCTGGAAAAGAAACTGGGTTACTGCCTCCTGGGGCTGGCATCTGCATGTTCTGTCACTGCTTTGGGCTGAAGAGAGGAGGGTGTGCTGGCTCGGCAGGAGGAAGTCTGGAGAAGTTGCTCATCTCTACAAACAAAAAACAAAAGAATCGAATTTTTAAAGTTCCATTTTCAGATGCCAGTTACCACAGCAAGTATAGTGCTGTGAGCCATATTCATGTTCCCCAAGATCTAGCCATGTGCTTGGCACTTAGAAATGTTTGTAAAGATTCATTATGAATGGAAGAGAAGAAATACAAAATGTGAACCTTTAGGGGATTGTACATAAACCTTAATGGGACAGACAGCATTTTAGTAAATGATGACGAGGGACCGGGGGAGTAGCTCAGTACCTCAACATGTGCTTCGCATTTGGGAAGCCCTGGGTTCGATCCTCAGCACCGCCAACAACCAAAAAAGATGATCACAAGTTACCCGATAATGTCCTAATCGCTTTACATAAATATTTCTCATTTACTCCCCATATAAACCTGAGGTAGATGGGGTATCAAGACCCCTGAACAGGTCTTCTGAGGATGACAAGATTGTCAATCACTCTTCTACTCAGAAGCCTCTTCTTTTTATGTGGCTAGGGCCTCCCCATAAGGCTGGACCAAATGTCCCTTCTCTATGTAATTAATAGGCTCCCATTACTTCTATACTTGAAATTGTCTTATTAGTTTCCTCACTTACTGTCCTCTCTCACTGGAATGTGGGTTCCATTGGTGCAGGCCTACAGGATGGTTTGGTGGAACTGCATCTGGACCTTCACAAAGACCCAGCGACTCCTGTGATCCAGGCTAGGAATACGCTGCTGCCACCAAGTGGCAAGGCTTAGAAGCCACAGGTAGTTTACAAGTAACAGCCATCCAATTTGTTGACTGGGGTGGAGGGAATTCTGACTGGCCCAGGAGAAGGAAGAGGAGGAGTCTGCTTTCTGGTTTCATTGTTTCTTTCACAAAAGTACGAGGTACAGTAGCTTTTAAACGGTTTTGAATCAGGGACTTAGGAGAATCTGATGAAACAATACCTCGTTTCTCCATGTAGCGTATCTCCCAAATATTTCAACTGATGGGAAAAGTCTTTCCCCAGAAAAGCCCGCTCATAGCTCCTCAGAAGTTAAGATAGTCAAGTTAAAAAAAAATTAACTCTGGCCAAGAGTACTTTTTTTTTTTTTTTGGTACCGGGGATCGCATTCAGAACGTTGCGTTTGCGAGGCAGGAACCGGAACCACTGAGCTAAAAAGTAAACATTGTTGG